TTGCAGCAAACAATCTCTTCAGTCCCTTTCAACTCTATGTGACGTGGAAAACATTACCTGAATCCTATTGGCAGGGGATCCCAAGAGGATATTCCATAAGACTTCAAGTCAAGCATACTATCCATGAAGAAAACAAAACATGGACTGGGGAATTCGTCATAGTACCGTATTCAACTGGGGCATTACTTAAAGGACTTCAAACATATACAACTTACAGCCTACAGATTGCCGCTGTCACAGAAATAGGCCCAGGCCCGTACAGCAGAGAAATTCTTGTAGGTTAGTTCGTTTGAAACATTTAACGTGGTGTTGACTATTATTGTTTTCAATTGAGTTGTCGAAAGTAATCCTCGATGGACTTGACTCCTCTCCACCCTAAAGAGCGGAAAACGTTTCCTTGTGACTTTCGTCTCGTCTCTCTTCGTATCCAAGTGACGAGTAGGATTCGATAAACTTGCCCTTCACGGCACACATGGCCCTCCTATAAGATTCTGCTTAAAGCAGTTTCGATAATGTGAATTATCAAAACCTGGATCGTATTCATATGCAATTCAAGAGTTTCACTGGCTTAGCCATCATGGGTTATCGGCCATTTTACCATGCGCGCACGAAGACGAGTTTAACCGGAAGTATTTTCGTACATTGTAACATCCCGTCTGTTCTTATAAAATAAAGTTGAGAAGATTTTAATAAAACATTTATTTCACATGCACCTGTTGGATATGAGATGGTTATAGTCAACTCCGCCCTAAGGGCCTCACTGGCTATCTATCATCTCATATCCAACACGCGCTCGTGGAATAATCGTTGATTAAAGCATTTATTGTCAAGCTCTTGCGTTATGTAGACTTACAGCCCATACTTTGTGAAGGAGTTTACAGCGATGTGAAAACAACTTTTAGGGCTACCTGATGAACATTTGGGTCCATCAGGCCCTGGTTACTCGAAGGTTAGATAACGCTACGTACCCACTGGTTAAATCTCTCTCCGGTGGATAGCACAGTACGTTTTGCTATCACTTAAACCATTGGGTAACGTCCTCCATCCCTTAATACAACTGGGCCCAGGAGTATTGAAACGTTCTAAACAGTTTAGTGATACCGGAAGTAACCAGGATGGATGGATGGATGGGTTAGATGACCACTCCCCTTGGGGCTTTTCAGGGCCATTCTTACAACACTCTGTGGGGGACTTTGCCAGACTGCTTGTAGCAGTTTACAACGAATCAAAGGAAGTTGAAGATGCCCCCTCCTCCCCAATTCCCAGTAAACAGGCCAGACCACATCACAGTGGGTTCTTTAACGTCCCCTGCCTAACTTAATTAACCAACCAATAGATGCAGGAGACGGGACCTACAGTATATTCGTCTTTATCAGAGAAGACTAGAATGTCTATCCATTTCAAGATATTATAGAAAGGTAGCACATTCTCCTCAGTTTTTTTAAGACCTTGAGTATTGGTCCGGCCGGGGCTCGAACTTTCGACCTCCCGCTCAACAGTCCGGCGCTCTAACCAATTGAGCTAACCGGGGAGGCGGTTGTGAGGCAAACGATAATACGTCATTATACTGTACTCACCACAGCCTTTTTGACGATAATTCTTATATTCAAGTAAATTCGTAAGTGAGTAAAGCGTTTAATGTTCATTTCAGCTTTGAATGGCGAAACTGAGAAAGACACGATGACAAACGAAAAATGTTCAACTTTTCTTTATTTCTATCTTTTCAGAAACGTGTCGCTGTCCCAAAAAGAT